ACTAGTGATTTTAGCGATTTACGAATTTCCGAGATACGCGAGGTGAGTCTTCTCACTATACTTTACCTTGAGTAGGTAAATAGAGTTATGTGATACAGTGCTTGTATGCTATATTTATATGTTATGTGTTGTGCTGCATTATTCTTTGTGATTTATGTTGTGCATGTTTACAGAGTTAGAACCTGAGGGTTCACAGAGTAGGGTGCACGGACCCACAGAGTTATAGCCTCGAGTGGCTAATATGTGTTATATGTGGTATTTTGGGGAACTCACTAAGCTTTGTGCTTACAGTGTTTGGTGTTATTTGTTTCAGGTACTAGTGACGACCGTGAGAAGGCGTCGGCTTGATCAGTACACACGCATGGGATTTATGATTTTGAGATCTTGGGATTTTTGTATTACTTGGATTCAATGTTCAAATATGGTTGTTTTATGAATATTAAGTAAATTATGTTTTATAAAATTTGAAAAAATTGTTTTGAAATTTACGGTGTTACACTCGGCCCTATAAATAGAGGCTGCGAACCCTCCCGGCTAAAATTAGAAAATTGACACTTTTTCACCCTAATTTCATATATTCACTATTTTGACTTTTCCCGAAGCCCCGGTATCAATTTTAGCACCCGAAACACGTCCCGAGACCCCCGAGAAGCCCGAAAATTTTATCTTTTCGGTTTTGAAGCCCTACCTTCGCAGAGCCCGGTTTTCAATTAAGCTCTCGATTTTCAACATAGAAAGTCATATTTAAAGCCGAAGTGTTGTCCAAATTACTATTATAACCCCCGGTTAACTTAAGGTGAGTTCAATATATAGGAACAATTGTATTTTATGTGTTATATGTGCTATGTGCTTTTCAATGTTATTATTCTGAGTTAATATCCCGTGTGATTTTATTCGCTATGTTTATAGCAATTGTAATACATTTGACCATGTGATCAGTGAAAGGACTTAGATTCACATTGGTACTGGTACGTAGCCTCTGGACATGTAGAGCATGTCTCCGTAAGAGAATGACTTCTATTCTATGGCATTGGCAAATGGTTAGACAGGACTATAAGCCTGAAATCTAACAAGATGTTAATCAGAAATTGCATGTCTTCTATGCCATTTGGGCCAAAGTTTTATTGATGTATATCAAGCATTGAAAAGTATATCTTTGAATAAAGTCTTTGATTGATATGAACGCTTGTCACATGATTTACACATACATCTTGTTGTTCCTCTTTGCTTTTGCCACATTGAAGTATATATATGGCATAACGTTATATTGTATCTATTATTGAACTCACTAAGCGTCACCGCTTACCCTATCAATGTTTAACAATTGCAGGTGATAAGTAATTACTATGTTCACATACCATTGAAAGATTTAGAATAGTTTGTAATAGTACTTTTGTACTTCATTTTATGTTTGTATAAATTACAATATCCTGGGTAGTTATATTTTTATATATATATATATATATATATATATATATATATATATATATATATATAACACTTTGTAATAGACGGTTTGTATCCAATAGTTTGTAATCCCTTTATCAATATAAAATATTGCTTTTATGAATATGCAAGTAGCATGTTTTGGAGTAATGATATTGTGAAGTATGAAAGTTTGGGTCTTTCAAAAATACAAAAGTTGGGGTCTTTCATGCACCATTTCCAGACCCATTCCCATACAGTTTTCGCAAAGCTGCAGTTGAGCAGGATATGATTTGGGGTTTCATCCATTGCCCTACAATATCCACATTGGGTTGATTCTACGGATATGCCTCTATTGGTTAGTTCAGTGGCTGCCTGTATCCTTCCTAAATTTGCTCTCCATATAAAGTAGAGAACTATAATAGGAATTTCTTTCATTCATTCCACTTTAACTTGAGGTACCAGATTTGTAGGCCAATCAATCATATGCCTGACTATATCAACATGATATATGTCGTCTCCTGATAATTCACAACTTCATTTATCTTCAGCTGTTGATGGCTGAAATTGTCCCAGTGAAGAGTAGAGAGCTGCAAGGTCAGGGATGTTCGGGCTATTTTTTCAATTCCATTCCAATCCAGTAATCTTCACTCTATCCTCCATAGTGCATCTTTTTTTCATTTCCAATTCATATAGGTTCGGGAACTTTGCCTTTAGTGTTTCGTTTCCTGCCCATATATCTATCCAGAATAATATCTTATCACCCTTGTTTACCTTTTTCTTCATTATAATCTCCATGGGCATGCCTACCTTTTCTAGTTCTTTATCAACCAATGCAATATTCTTCCATACTCAAGTAATCGATCGGTTGGCTAGGCGTGAGTCTTCCTTTGAGTTTGTTTTGAGAATTCCTTGGATGACCTGTCTCCATAGTGTGTTTCGATTCTCTCTAAATCGCCACCACCATTTTGCAATAAGAGTTATGTTAAAGGCCCGGAGAGAGCCAAGTCCGAGTCCTCCTACTTCTTTATGTTAATAATTTTCTCCCATGCCACCCAATTTATCTTTTTGTTGTTTCCCATTTTTCCCCACACGAATTTCCTACGCATTCGTTCAAGTGAATTAATGACACCCATTGGTGCCATGAAGTGGGAGAAAAAGTAAGTAGGGAGACTCCTAGGGACTGATTTGGTTAGAGTTAACCTTCCACCAAACAACAGTGATTTTTCCTTCCATGATGTTACTTTCCCGTTAAACCTGTCAATTACGGGTTGCCAATTTTTCTGAAGGTTCATGTTGGCACCTACCGGAACTCCAAGGTACGTAAACGGGAGAGATACAGGCTGACATCCAAGTGGGGCTGCCATTCGAGATATCTCACGCAGCTCTGAACAAACCCCGAACACCCTCGATTTATGGAAATTCACTTTAAGTCCCGATAAGATATGGAAACAAGGAAGTATTCGTGCCAAGTTTTTGATATTTTTTTCAGTCCATTCCCCTATGAAGAGGGTATCGTCTGCGTAAAAGAGGTGTGAGATCGTTTTATTTGACTTTGGGATTTAAGACCTTGGAATATCCCTTTGTTGCAGGCAGCTTTCATTGCTATATGGAGACCCTCCATAGCAATTATAAACAGAAATGGGGATAGGGGATCTCCCTGTCTTACCCCTTTCTCAAGTGAGAATTCCTTTGTGGAAGAGCCATTTACAAGAACTGATGATCTGGATGAAGTCAGGCAGCCACGAATCCAATTACACCATTTCATACCATACCCCATTTGCTTCATAGTTGAGTCAAGAAAACTCCAGTTAACGGAGTCAAATGCCTTATCAACGTCAACATTGAAGAGTAATATCTTCTTTTTCGTCTTCTTTGACCAAGAGCAGATTTCATTTACAATCAGAGGACCATCAAGAATGCTTCTTCCATCTACATACGCGGACTGAACTTCATCTATAGTAAGTCCCACCACCTTCTTGAGTCTACAGGCTAACACCTTGGCAATGATCTTATAAAGACATCCAATGAGGCTTATAGGACGAAAGTCCCTTAGGGATAAAGGATCATTGACCTTAGCCGCCAGTGTTATGAATGAGGAGTTACATCCTCTTGATAATCTGCCTGTGTGTTCAAAATATTTGACGAAAGCGAAGATATCATCTTTAAGCCTTTCCCACCGATTTTTGATGAACTTGAAAGTAAAACCATCCGGACCTGGGGCTTTTTCATTTCCACAAGCCCATATGGCTGACTTGATCTCTTCAAGTGTGAAAGGTTTCTCCAGGTTTCCACTATCCTCTTCAGAAAGGGTCATAAACTGATTACTGATTAGTTTAGGCCTTTTGGGCCAACGTTCCTCGAATTTTTGTTCAAAGAATCTAAATGCTTCACCCATGATTTCCTATACATCTTTCGACCAAGAACCTTTGATTGTTAGGCCATATATGGTATTTTCCTGTTCTTATTGTTCACGTAACCGTGAAAGAAATAGGTATTCTCATCCCCATCAACTGTCCATCAAATACGTGATTTTTGTTTGAGATCAAGGGCTGCCCATTTCTCCAACTCAATAATTTTTTGGTTCCCATCCTTGCGTTGATTCGTCTCTACAGACGTCAAGGTTCTTGATTCAGCTGCCATATCCAACGAGTCAACAAGCTTTTTTATCGGATCTAACTCTATTTTTTTCTTTTGAGAATGAGGTGAGTCTCCATTTCTTCAAGCATTCTTTGAGATATTTGAGTTTGGCAGCTAGATATAACTCAGGGGTACCATATCCCCTGAAACATTACAAAGAATTGTCTACGACCGTATTGAAATCTGATCTTTGCATCCAACCATTAAAGAATCGGAATGACCTGGGCCCAAAATCAGCGAGATCAGTGAAAAGTAGCAATGGGTAGTGATCAGATAACTCTTTTGGCAGGGCAGTGACGCATGTATTGGGGAATTTATCAGTGAAGTTTGAGCAGACTAGAAATCTATCTAATTTGCTTAATTTTAACTCATGTCGACAGAAATAGGTAAATTTGTGACCTCCCATCTTGACTTCACGGAGGTCTGCTTCGTGAATAAATTGATTGAAGCTTATGGCACTAGATTGACAAAATTGCGAGTTTATTCGTTCCTCAGGGTGCCTCACCACGTTGAAGTCTCCAAATATTATCCAAGTTCCATGGTTTTCATTTTTTAACCTGCTTATATTCTCCTAAAGTATTCTTTTTTCTAGATTCGAGTGAGGCACATAAACGTTGGCAAAAATAGTTATTCCTTGTATGCCCTTCCATTGGCCAATCGTGATTATGAAGTACCTGTTTTTGATAACCTCAGTGACATTGAAAAGGTTTTTGTCCCAAATGCTTAATATCCCACCAGATCTTCCATTGGAATTAACAGTTGCATAACTGAAGTTGTTGGATTCCCAACATCCTCCAACATCGATGTCTTTTGCATTCGTTAGTTGGTTTCTTGAATTCCAAAAAAAGAGAGTCGATGTTTTATTTTCAATCTCCTGGCCCACGTAATTTTTGGGGTTTCCCCCATCCCCCTAATATTAAGTGACATCCAATTCATTAGTGTACTGTGTTAGCTCCCACATCACCCAATACTTCTGCTAATATAGGATTGTCCATCTCTATGTCGAACCCCAATTGCTTACCAATAATGGTTGTTTTTTCTGCTTCAAGCGAAGAGGAGACGCAGTCGCTAGGTTCCTGGTCAGATTCGATCTGTGAGTTTTCCATGAGCCCCCGATTAAGATCAATCGAGGTTCTAGCTTCATTGTCACCCATCGGAGCAGCATTCTCATTGGGAGGGGGCACGGGGGGCACGAATGTTTCATAATTAGTCTCCGATTCAAGATCAGCCATAGGGCGTATGTTATTTACGGAGAATCGAGAGGTGTCACCATCTGTTCTATGTCTTTTAAGAGTGGATCCTCCGATGTTGAATTGGGGGAGAGAATTAAATTGCAGGTTTCCCAAATTGTCGATCCAATTGGATGAGAAAGGACCAAAGCATCCATTATGAAGGAGCCCAATGGGCTCAGTGATTCGTGGGAGCCCATTATCACCATTTTTTCTCCTTTCATCCATTTGACCTAATTCCTCCCTTTGACTATTATTGTTGACAGCCACTCTTGCGTATTTACTGTTGCATTTAATTGGAGTTAATTCCCCATGAGGCTGTTCGTATTCTTCACATGGAGGGATTTCTGCATGCACCGGTTGCTCTTCTCTAGGAATATCTCTCACCTATGTAGCTTCTGATCTTCCATCTCCAGCACCGTGATTGGTATCACCGTAGGCATCGCCACCATTGGTTTGATCATCGGTATTTTCCATCTCGATCTCTCCTTCTTCAAGATCATTGTTATTTCCCAGAATCCAAGTATCAGAAATTTCGTCATCTGAATCCATGTCTTCATCAGAATCTGTTACTGTATTTGAATCCTCCACGTATGGGTTAGATATTGGATCAAACTTAAATGGGAACCAATCTTCATCAAACTCAATAATTTATATCTTAGTCAAGGTGCCCATTAAAGAAATTGTAATTTCTTCGTTTATTCTGCGCTTGGTCCCCGTTAGTATTCTGATCTTCACATGGGACATATCCACACGATTTGGGAGATCATCGTATGGGGCGATGATTACACCATATTGGGTAGCGATGGCAGAAAAGTTTTTTTCCCCCCAGTACTGTAAAGGTAGCCAAGTAATCCTAATCCATGCAATACGCTCATATTTCATCGTGCATTCATGTTCCCTAGGCTTCACCCATTTCATGTAGTCCTCCCATCTTCTCCTGTTTTCCATGAATTCCTTGGCCTCAGTGGAGTCTTTGAATACAAGGAGGATCTTGAGTCCCCCAATATACTTAATCTTGAAGCTTGGTGTCTCCTTTAGATGCATTAGAGATCTCATATGGCCAAGATGGTCAAGGGATATTGCTTCCCCCACAACTGATATCTTTCGAAGTCTATGGCTTGTTTCTGTATCAGGTGATATGGTAATTATATGAGAGGGGGGAAGGGGAGATGAAACCTGATCATGGTGATGATGCAGCGTTCTATGGCGAGCGACCTCCGCAAACATTCTGGCATCCCGAAAATTCTGAGTTTGATTCTCGTTGGATACTCCTTGTTCTCTTCTATTATTACTGGTTTTCGAGGCCATAGTTCCTCGAGGATGCTTTTCGAGATTGATCGAGAGTCTTCTCCCTCTGTGTGTTACGCCATCAATTTTATTTTCTAATGCAAGTTTATCCTCCACATCTAGAAATCTAATAAAAAGATAGAATTGTCCGTTCTTCCCCTTTCTTCCTTGGTAGTACACGTCCGAAACATTGCCATACCGAAGGAATTCTTTCCTTATCTCCTCCCTGTTAACATCACTTGGAACGTTGGACACAAAGTATGTGGTCTCGTTGACTGTTCTTGCACCAGTTCATTTCTTCTTCTGTCGGATAATTATGTATCCTTAATTTTTTTTTAAATGTTGGTTGACATAAATTGATTACGATTAACACAGTTAGACATATGCCCATATTTACTGTTGGGATTAAGGATCGATAAACACACACACAAACACGATAATTAAAGATGTGAAGCAAATAAAGAATATAAGAAATTAATGTGGTTTACTCCGTCAGAGAAAGCGAGCTACGTACGGACAAATATGTAATATATTTCATGTTCTTTGACTGACTTCTCTTCCTTGATTGCGATCTTCCTCTACCCCTCTATTGGATTTTCTGCTCCCATCTTTTGTACTCAAAAAATTACAACTAGAACATTATCTTGCATCCCTTTTGCGAGTATCCTCACTCAGAATCAAATTATGAATGTCTTCAAATGTAAGTTTAGTAGTTCCCGAAGAATAGAAAAATGGACTTCATCTTTGAATTTAATCTTCACAAATATCGGCATAGATATTATGAATTAAACTTGTTGACATGATATATCACCTAGCCGCATTCATTTATCTTTGTATTAACCAATTATCTAATTAACAATATCTTGTTCACTATCAAGTGTATTCTTATATATGTTAGATAACGCCTTGATCACTCCATCATTGCCTTCTTGTTGACAATGATGTAAGAAACTTTCTTTGTCAACAAAAACTTAACCACACCAAAAGCATGTCGATTTAACAAGTTTCAATTATCATAATTATCTCTTCAAGTTTTCTTTTATACAAGGATTTGTGTAACTTCTTCTGTTAAAGGAAATCTTCAGTCTATATCTTCCAAACACCAAAATCATGATCTTAACATTCCAGTCTTAACTCATAGCTTTGATTTCGATTGTTGCGATTAATGATCAATAAACATACAAAAACACCACAATTAAAGATACAACAAAAATAAAAATAAAAACACAAGAAATTAATATGGTTCGATCGATTAGAGGAATAGAGATACACACATGGACAAATATATATATATATATATATATATATATATATATATATATATATATATAGGGAGGGTTCATGCGAAAATGCAAATAATTTGCGAAAATAAGAAAAAACTGTGAAATTGTGCCACCTTAACCTTATATTTTGGACAATAATTCATCCAAACTTCGAACTACATGATGATAAACGATGATACATGTCACACCCCAAAACCAAGAACGGCGGAAACGTTCTGGGGCGGAGGACGTCATGTATAATATCAACAACAATGTAAAGTAGTAAACAAGCAACAACATCATCCATTGCATTAATAAAATAATTATTATACAATTGTATTCTGTCAAATTTTGATAAACACTAAAGCCTAAATCAAAATGAAAGATAAGTCTTGAACAAGCTCCATCTTCCTTTCTCCTTGCATCGGTACCTGTCTATGATGACCTGAGGATACAAGTAATTTTGAAAGCGAGTATCAGCTTTGAAGCTGGTGAGATCATAAGTATTTAGTGTCTTAATTTGTATGTAAGAATTTGTAAGTCTATGTATTGTAAGAATTTGAAAAAGTTTGAATCTCTCAGAAAAACCTATATTTTCTATTAAAGTAGCCTTCTACCAAGGCTTAACTGTTTTGTATGCTCGTTTGATGTAAAAGTGTGTAATTTCCCAAGTGTAACTATCATCATCAAAATATAGTTTGTACATTAAAGTTTAAGTGAGGTTATCGCTAAAAATGTAATGGGTAAATCATTGTAGTACTGTAGTTTTGTATTATAGGAACTACTGCTGTACTAACTACCTTAAACCGGATTTATATTAAGGTATAATGTGATAATTGCACCATACTATCGACTGATAACAACGACATAAAGAACGGTCGTAATAACGGAATGACGTTTGGCACCCGCAGACCTGCAGGTCCGGCTGTAGCTAGCAGCAAGGTGTAGGATTGTCAATCCAGTATAGATCTATACGCAAACTCAACGCTCTCCCTCCAAGAGAATTCTGGCTACAACTCGGGCCATGACATTTAAGGCATGCTCCGATACAGTGGATCACAATTGTTAACGTATTAATGTAAGGGTAATGTTTCTCGTTCTAGTATAGTTGTATATGTTCTCGTCCTAGTATAGTTGTATATGTAATGTTCTAGAAAGTATTGACTCATGAATGAACTGACTCATTGTATGATATCGCGTTCTAGTAATCTTCCTAAACTACCCATATGGTAGTTTACTAGCAGTCTAACTGGTACGTATGGTCATGGATGTATACCCTTACTAACTAAGGGCATGGGATGAACTGGAAAGACCTTTTATGACTATATATGTACACATGATATATAACTAATATTTAAACGACTTTCGGACGAATACCCAATATCCCACCAGACCACATCTCAAGGCGCGAAAAGGAAATAGGGTGGATAGCCTTCCTAAGTCTTTTAAACATTTCTTATATAACTATACATATAGAGGCATGCAATTTATAATATAAAAGCATAAATAAATTTTGTAAGACATTTGAAACAATAAATTTTTTAAGAAAATCGACTTGATGTCGATTATAAAACAATTTGAAGGCATAAGTATGATAAAACAGTTTTGAGTATAAGGAAACATTTGATTGAAACACAGTTGTAAATAAGTTTGAAAGGTAATGTACGGAGTAAGCTGTACAGTGTAAAAAGGAGTTTAAAACATATAAAATGTTTATAAAAAGTCATTTGAAGGAAACTGTTTGGTAAAACGGCTAATGAGTAGCCAAATCTTTTGAATGCTGTATATTAATCACATGTGATTGATGTAATAACTAGCGTAATTCTACTTATTAATCGCATGTGATTGATATAATACTAGCATGATTCTACTTGTATCCCCCCCCCATTAAACATTTAAAAGTAGTTTAAAACATTAGTTAAGGGGTATGAACTCACTTGATTGAAGTGGTTGATTTGAAGTAGTCGAGAGAAGAATCGAGCAGAACTTCGACAGGAAGAGTTGAAAACGCGGGAAAATCTCGGATTCTCGGGAATCTCGGGAACACAAAACCTTCCTTCGGGACTTGAAGGTGAAAACCGGGGCTTTGGGAGGGTCTCGGGGGCTTAAACGCAGAGTTTCGGCGCGAGAAAGAGAAGAATGGAGCACCTAAACCCGCACCCCAAGAGTTCTATTTATAGGGGATTTTGGTGCCACGTCGTGGCTAGGTTGGCCACGTCGTGGGGAGCAAACTCTATCCTCTTCCATTGATTGGACGCCCTCAGTCACTTGCCGGGTCGCGGCAAGCAGTGCCACGTCGTGGAGCCTGACAGCCTCGGATTTTGGACCCCGAACTTGTAAAATCCATAACTTTCGCGTACGACCTCCGTTTTCGACGTTCTTTATATGCACGCGTAGCTAAAAACATGATCTACAACTCTCGTTTAGACTTCATTGGCTAATTTTGACTTTATTTTTAATTATTTATTTTTAACGGGCCGGGACACGAAAATTCGTTAAAAATCCATAACTTCTTCATCCGATGTCCGTTTTCGTCAGACTTTTCGCCGTTGCGCTACTAATGTTGAGACCTTAGATTCTCATTTAGGTTGTTTTGGTCAAAAGTATCTCGAGCTCTATTTCGAGTTTTTAGCTGTCTACTGCTATACCCGAATCTTGGAAAAATCATAACTTTCTCATACGAAGTCAGATTTGGACGTTCTTTTTATGTACGCTCACGGTTTGAGGTTATCTATAACTTTCATTTAGATACTTAAGGCTAAAAACTATTGTATTGAAACTTCGCGTTTTTCGTTTAATCGGTGTTGCCGGTTTTGCCGAGAATCTTCGGTTGGTCATAACTTCTTCGTTATAACTCGGATTTTAGGGTTCTTTATATGTACGAAAACCTTGATACGATTCCTACTACTTTATTTAACCCAAATAAGATTTTAGGAAAGTTATATTTTGACCTAAATTTGATTGGTTTTACATTACATTGTCTCGAAATATCGGGTTGTCACATTATCCCCCGTTAGAAGGAATTTCGTCCCGAAATTAGAATTTAAGCAAGGAAGTATGCACGAATGATCGAGTCGTGAGGAGGAAACTTCCTAATCGATTGGTTCTAGTGCACCTAAGTGATAACGGGTTCTCGGTTGGCATTCCAACGAACCTTCACTAACTGGCGATGGCGTTTCTTCGTCTGCTTGACCTCTCGGTCGAGGGTCACTACGGTTCTAATACGAAGGCGAGGATCTCGACGAGTGGACTTGCAAGAGTCCTAACGGAAAGGTATGGTTTCACGATCGAGATGCGAAGAGTAGAAAGTACGTTACTGAGTTCGCGGAGTAGGTCTAGTTTGTGTGAGGCACAGGACCGATTCTGATAAGAATCTCGGAGGTCCTGTCTACCTTGGATTTAGCTTTCCACGCTTTACGAAGCGTATTAAGCCATTCCCAGAGTGAGTTATCCTAAAGAACTTGGTCACTCACTTGGAATCTCAAAGGTTCCTTTTCTTGCGTAACCTCCCAGTCAAAGGCCATCCCTTGCTGGGTCAAAGTCGTACGAGTTTCTGTAGCTTGCGAGGAGTTCTGAATGAACTAAGGCGGTAGGTCGGTAAGACCTAGAATCTGGCGAAAGACTGTCGGCGTCTCTGATGTCGATAAATGCTCAACGGTTTTGACAAATTGCAAGAGTGCTCATAATTTCTCACATTACTAACAGTGTGTCTTTGGAAATTTGACTCTTCAATTTCAAAACTCGTGCTTTGAGAACATCGCTAAAAGTTCCTCTGAAGGAAATGTTTTCCCATGGGTTCCTTCTTACTACAAGGGTAGATAAGTAAGTCATTACATGTAGAAATGACGAACTGATCCAGGTAAGAAAGACGTACCCTACTCGTTTAGCTCATAAAAGCTATGGGCGTATTGGTCCTATCCGAAGGGTATCACTACGGACTCGAAGTGTCCGCATCGAGTTCAGGAGATAGTCTTCCGGACATCTTTCCCTAACACTCGAACTGGTGATATTCGGATCCCGGATCCATTCCTGGAAGTAGTTTCTTTCTTTGCGTTTGCTCAACCATTTTGTCTACGCGCGGCAGAGATAACGATTTCTAATGAAAAATCTCGACGGAGTCTTCGATAACCGAGGTACATGCAATGCGATCCGTCGATCTCTGGAAGAATATGACCGAGGTTCTCTAGGGTGAGAAACCTAGTCTTCTAATTCTATTTATGTGTAGTTCGCTAAGTTGTCCAAACTGTTCTTGTATCTCCGTGGGTGTTTAAACTATAAGGTGATCTGTTTACGGGAGTCGTACTGGGTTCTATGCTTGTTCTCATGACGATGTGATTACTCGTACT